ACCATATGGCGTCATTCTGGCGTCAGCAAAGGCCGAAATCCGCCATGTTTTTGCGGACACTTTTTGATGCCGAGCACGTCCTCCAGTAATATAGTATAGCTCAGTGGTTCAACCCCATCAAAATTTTGCTTCATCCCTCCTATTTTGTGTGAAAGACTTTAACCCAAATGCCTAACTTCTGCTGAAGCTCGATGAGTGGTGCCGCTTGCACCCCACCAGAAATTTTTCTACCCCTCCTTTTAAATAAATGAAAATCTGCCCTTATTTTCATTGGCCCTTTGTTACCGTGACAGCCTAAAACATAAATTGCTCATATTTGTTCAGGTATTATTGACACAAACTATAGGAACTTATTGTAGATTGCTAATAAATAGTAAACATACCACTATTTTTTTTAGTTCTGAGTCAGCCTTGTTATGGACAGGAATCGTATGATCCTACCGTGGTATTTCAAACACTTTATTCCCATGGCTGGGTAATCTCACTGGAACAACAGGTACCCATTCAATCATACTAGTAAACTGTTCAATGCATTTCAGCAGGGCTTGAAACTTGAAATTTTTGTCAGTATCCAAGTGGATACCAGCATCATAGAATCTAGTATCCATCCTTGAGATATAGTAACCCAGATTTGGATACTAGATGTTCTGTTTCCAGTATCTAAGCAAGGCAAAATTTTACCTTGCAACCAGGCCTTCAGTTGCTGAGCAAAAACCAGGCCTTTAGTTTCACTAATAAAAATATGTATTGAAATTCGAAAAAATTGAAAATAACACACTGCGGCAATATGAAAGAAAGCACCGTTTGTGAAATTTGTTTTTAAAATATTCTGGCAAAATCTGTGGACATTGAAGTTCGGAAACATGCCGAATGTCCAGATGATTATCTACTATCGCGATTTCTAAGTTTTCCTAGTATCCAGTTGGGATACTGAGCTTATGATACCCAGTATCCAAAATTAAAATCTGATATCAGAGCCTGAAATAATTTTTAAATTTGTTCGGCAAAACTTCCAAGCAAAATGAAATTTGACCGGAAATTTTGAAATTTGGTCGGAAATTTTTTAGTTTAGTTTGATCGCCTCCGTTGAGTAAATTATGTCAAGCATGCAGTAAATCACTCTACTTGTAATAAACAGCCTATTTAACTGTCCTGATGAAGGGCCTTTGCTCGAAACGTCGAGGAAACGCATTCTTTATCTTCCAGGTCATCAAATTAACAACAATGAAAGCA